GGTTTATTATTTTTTTTTTGGTCCAGTTTAATAGGAAAAAGTTTGAGTTCCAGCTCCAGTCGACCGAAACCCAAACTAATCAGGTTCTGTTTGCATCATTACGAGCAGTACTGTAACCGCACTGCCGCTTCCTCCCCGCTTCCTCGCCGCTTCCTCCTCGCTTCCTCCCCGCTTCCTCCATTTTCTCCTCCTTTCCCCCCTGAATTTGCCTCATTCCGTTTCGGAATGGAGGGGAATTGTTTCACCGGAAAGCCATCCGCAATTTGACTTTGAAATGAGCCATTACTTGGGGCGGACCGACTCGCCCCCGGGCGACCTGGTCAGGGTCGGGCGACGTCGATTTTTGCCGGCGAAATTTCTCGCCAGCCCGCGGTCACGATGTCGACCCCTGGTGGCTTCGGCTCGTGGGAAAAAAAGCGATTTCTAATGCGAAAGCGGATCCCACAGACGCAGATCGTTGCGGCCGTCGGCCAGTCGTGACGTCACATGCGGCTTGGGAGACCGGCCGATCGAGCCGGATTTCAGGGTGGATTGCACTGGCATCGGGGAGGAAAATCGACTCAGATTATAAAACATATCAAGCGAGAAGCATGATATAAAATAAAATAAAAATCACATTTTATTTACATGGGCTTCCATGGAAATAAAAATGAACCCAGTTAATTGGATTTCAATTTCAAATTTATTTTACTGCGAGCATCCAACCCGAGCAACTGCGCGGTGACCTGAATTTGAATCGAATCGAATGACTCCTTCCCGAGCTTTTCCTCCTCCACCGTATTAGGAAGCCCTACTAATTACTCTCTTCTGCGTCGCTGCTCATCTCGCCTAATGCAGCGCGGGCTCGCGTGGATCCTCGGGCCCACGCCCTCCTCCTCGCGCTCCACCTCCTCTTCCTGACTTTCATTCATCCGCCTGCGTGTGCCATTGTTCATTCTTCGTCGTCTTTCCTCGTGGGATGGTCACTTCTTGGAATTCCCATCAGGGGGAAAGCCGCTTCTTTTCCGTGAATAACCGCCTGGGGGAAATAACACTTCTGGATGTGTCGGGAATCTCGCGATTGGATGTGCACGTGGAATATTTAAAAAAAAAAAGGAGATGAGTACGAGGAGGTTATCATGATTAACACGAAGGTCACACGGCGGTGGTGACGCTGCCGTCTGACTGGTTTCCCGACCCATATTCGAAAGGGACTCGGACCATTCCTTCGGCTACGTCATCCGTCATCGACGATGAGGCATGCATAAGGCTATCGTGATCCGCTTCCTACTAACAGATGCCGATAAGCTAAGCTGCCGCTCGTGTTTGTGACGTTCGACCGACGTCATGCGCCGTCTTGCAGGCTGCGAAGCTCGCTAGAAACTCGGAGACGAAACCCGATTGCCGATTCGAAGGACTGCAGACCGAGGGATCCATGCCACGGGGATCGGCAACACTTTCGTGCCACCACCATGCCAGATGGTGGTGGTCAGCTGTCCACGATCGCTCCGGAAGAGACCGGAAGCTGATGTTCGCAAGCGAGAATTTATTGGGTCTTGCCTCGGCTGGAGCGGAGATGAGACCGGATTTTACGCCTTGCATGTCCTCGTTCTTTGAGCGTCTTGCTCGGTGGCGAACTGCCTGATATGGAGGAAAGATGCATCGAGCGATAGAATCTTTTATTCTCAACTCTCCGATCGGCTGTGAGCGGCTTCACGGAGAACCTCGATTCTGGGGCGATCCCTGGAATTTTTACGGAATTCCTAACCGTCTCCCACGAGACCAAAGCCTGAGTCTTCTGTACCAGAGTCGTCCCAAACGCACAGAGTTATGCGAACTCTTCAGTTTTGTCCCAGATGCTTGTGGAAGCGCTGATGACATCGAGAGACCAAGAAGTCGGCTCGGGGAAAAACGCACCCGAGCGTGTCCGAACTCATCGAGAAATGAGAAATAAACGCCCGGACGGGGATTGATGGCTTCGGAATGAGAAATCCCCGAGGATCAGCTGGAGATGGAGGGGAGCCAAGAGAATCTGACCAGGTGTCATCGGTCTCGAGGCGCTGATGATCAGACGAGATGATTATTAATTCTGGCTTTTTATTTCCTCGACGGAATGAAGCGACACGTTTTCGACTTTCATTAATTATTATTAAAATTATTAAAAACAATATTTCCTATTTTTTTATTCGAAAAAAATTTTTTCCGACAATTTCGCCGTTACCCAACCACTCAAACTTGGAAGCCATGTTCTTTTCCGCACATCAAAAAAAAAAATTAAATAAACTTTTCCCAAAAGGTTCGAAACTGTTCTTGAAAAATTTCATTCGGGTTTGACCTTTTCGAACATTTAGTGATTTGCATATTCTAAGACTTTCTGATTTACGTTCGGTTCGACTTCGAGTCCGTTTTGGCCTCGATTCCGGAAGTGCCCCGATTTCTGCATTGCAAATTCCAAAACTACCAACAAATTTTTTTTTTTTTTGCCTCGCCGACTCTTGCAACATTTTCCGATTTTTTCAACATCTCGAGGATTCAGTCGAATCCAATTCGGGGAGATGAGACGGATGGAAATGGATCAAGTCCTGGTATAGACCTGAGCCTTTGTGCTTCGCCTCCATAAAGGGCGGATTAGCGACGGTCTTCTCAGTTGATTGAAAAAGGTCTGATTTTATGACCGTCCGACAAAGGACGGAAAAATATATTTATTATATAAAAAAAGATGGGGACATTTTAATAAAGTCGGTACGAAAATATATAACTTGATCCTGAATCCGTGTGAATTCCTTCGTGGATGAGATTAGCATTCGGATTAGGGGATTAAGGAGTTCGTAACCGGCGGAGGAAGTGAAGGCGATGCGAAAAAATTTGACAGAAATGGGAACTTCTCTTTCGCAACCATGGAAATAACCAACTTCATTCAGAATGATCATTCTCTGGCTGGTCTGTGACAAAATGTTGGAACGACAAACCGTCGGTTTCGATTTCCCGAACGCAGGTTTGCCGCTTGGTTTTCTCCGATTTGCACGTCGTAATTACTTGATTCTGCATCGATTCGAAGATGCTGCATTGTGATCTGAGGATTTTTGGAAACTTTCTGGATGAAATGAGTGCCGTGACCAGAAAAAAAAACGAAGCTGTCTCCATCGTGGGAAACGAAGATCGATCCTCCGATCCCATCGAATTTAACGTCATCTCCATTCCAATCAGAGGTATCAGCTATCAGCTCCCACCGCTGATGGCGACAGTGCTGCTGCTCGAGGTGGCACGATGACGAAACCTTCTCGAACAAATTGCGCTTAACGCACTTTAGGAGGCTCTGCACTGCCGATTTATGCAAATTCGAGCGTTTCTACGAACATGGAATAAGTGAAAGTAATTTCCGAATTAAATCGTTCTTAAGAAAAAGGCCTTGTCTCGTTTCTCTTTCCTCCCCTGCCTCGAGGGAGGAACGCTCGCTCTCCACTCCTCGCATCCGTTGAGGCTCTCCCTTTCCTCATCGAGGCTCTCCCTTTCCTCTTCGAGGCTCTCCCTTTCCCCATGGAGGATCATGAGGGTCTGAATCGAGTCAGTTCTCGGTTCGGTTTACCGAATGATGAAATGCAATATCCCTTGCCCGAACGGCATCGCCTCTATTTATTATGAAATTCAATGACGCTCTCCTGACGTCAACTCGTGTCATTACCCTTTTGTAAGTGTACCACACAGACGTGTTTTCGGTCTCGGACTGGATCAATTTCTGTTTTCGCGTCCCTGTTTTCGAGCGAAGAGAGATCTATGATGAACAGAACGGAACAGAATTCCGGGAAGTCGTTCGAACGTTCCAAGTGGAGTGGCATATAAGTGAAATCTGACTATTGCGTAATATGTAAATTCTGGATATATATATTTTAAAATCAAGATCGACAGCACTACTTTTCATAAGGCCCCGACTACTCCACGAGAGGTGGAACCGAGTATGAGACGACGATATTCACTTGCAAGTCCACGTCCTAAGACAGACAGACACACACACACGCACACACACACACACAGGAATTCGAAAGCATGACCGCGTATTTTACTGGATTTTAGAACTTTTTGACTGAGTAATTTCCCTATTCAATTGCCTCTCCCATTCTGAATGTTTCCAAGCCAAAAATGTCGCTCTTTTTCCCTGGCATTTTCCGCCGAGAAATTAACTTTCAATGCCAATCGCAAGTCCAGTGTGGATCGTGACTATTTGGATTCCTCGGTGAAGAATCCTAACAAAATCATCTGAAGTTCCAAAAGGTAGGAACGTCGCAACGTGGAATGCAAAATTTGTCGGAAGATAAAACTAGCACTTTAGGGCTAGTAGTAAATTTGGCAGCCAAAACAAAGGCTGTGCAAAATATGGTACCTGCGACACCTGCAATCACTCTGCGTGAAAAATTAATTTCCTTTTGTCGAATTTCAGAGAACTAAAAGCTTTTCCTTGTCCAAAACGACAGTTATTTCCATATCGAGTCGCGAAGCCGCTATCGACTCACATAAATTTTGCACAAAGGCGCATCCGACGCCTCGAGAAAATTCCGAGCACGATGCCAAAAGTCCTTTTGACCTTTGAGTTCTTCCAGTTAGGGCGGGCCTCGAGGGGCACGTCGCCCGTTCCACTCAGAGCGACCAGATTCCAACTACTTTGAAATCGAATGGTAAGCGTTTATGGGAACGTTAGCCTTGTTAGGCGCCCACAGGGGGGCGTGCTACGATAGATCGGTTCCAGGAAACTCATCTGGGGCATGTCAACCGTATCTCATTAATAACAGAACTGCGGGGGAGGACGAATGTCTGCGTGCGACGGAGATCCGGGCCAGACTGAACGCACGTCACGCGACACGAGACGCAAAATCCCCGAGTGACCTGACGGCGTCGCGAGGATTTTTATGAATGAAGGCGGATGGATCGAGTAGAGGCGGCGCCACGCCCTCCCATTGGTCCGGCCCCCAGTGACGTCACGCCCGCGCTCTCGTACGATATCCTCCGCCTTAGCCTTTAGTCTGTCTCAATCATCATCTTCATCGTCGACATCATGAGGTGCCTGACTCTGATGATCATCCTCCGGTTAGGAGTCATCGCCCAAGAGGACCCAGCGCTGTCGAGGAAGGAGCAACACGAACGGGAACGCGAAAGGTGAGACTCGTACCCATCGAATCGCCTCGAAAAACGAATTTCTCGGGCCGAGTTGAACGTCTTAGAAGATCCGGATCCGGATCGAGATCCGCTGGTCCCAGTTTCGCTTTCTTCGTGACTACAGAATTTATCATTTAGCAGTATTCGATATTTTTAAATTAAAACGGTTACGTGCAGGTGGAATCGAGGTAGAGCGTCTCGTAGGAACTGCGCATGTTAAAAGTCTTCGGGCGCGAGATTCCACTGCAGATGTTCTCGACGGCCGACCCGAAAGCAAACGCGGATGCGAAGGAGAGAGAAAGCGATCGCGTTCGTCGGTTTTCGTTGCTCGATTTATTCGATCGACTCTATTCGATTCGAGCGACTCGGACGATCGTGCAACTCCGGAGTCGACGGAGAAGGCCGACACTCAGGCGTGCTCGCTAACGATTGTTTATTTTATTTTTATCCAGACGGGTCGGATGAATGAACTCCAGTCACGTGACACACCTACAGATGACTAGAAGAAGAAAAAAAAATTTTCTCCGTCTTCATTGGGGAAAGTAGTCGAGCGAGTGTCTCAAAGACACCATTTTTTTTTTTTTCGTCTAGCAATTTTCCCTCTCCCGCCATCTGGGACTCGTCTCGTGGGGCCTTCCTTAATAATAAATGCTGTTTACTTCCCCGGTTATAAAAGTACTTAGAGCAGGGTCAGTACCCCCGATTCCCCGATTCTAAAAATACCGTCTTCGGCCGCTGCATCGATTGAACGGTTTTTCCTCATTCGGTAATCGAATCATAAAACTTCGTCCAACGGCGTCCATCGCTCTCAACTTCGTCACTCACCTAATCACCCACTTAATTATTCACTTAATTTAGGGATTTATGCGTGCCAAAATGATTTGAACTCTTGCAAATGAGGAAAAGGATTTAAGTAGGTCATTATTATATTTCCCTCTGTAAACATCTCAATTACATCGAATGACGATTCCTTTGAGACCCAGATTCATATTTCCTGTGAAAAAATATAAATAAATAAATAAAATGAAATAAAATTTAAAAAAAAAGTAAGACGACGGAGAGGCGCCCAACGCGTACTACGCACTTGGCTGCATTGACCCGTGGCCGGAGTATTGCCGCCGGGATTGCGTAATCTGAGAAGCACGGGTATTTCCCCGAAGGTCGTTGGTCCTGTTTGTGTCACTGACCGCAAGTCGCCTCGAAACGCCGAAGCCTCGAAATGAGTCCGAGTCCGAATTTCAAGCTCCGTTCGGATGAATGGGAAAACCCGCCCTTAATTCCGCGAGAAATTCCGCGCAGTCCATATTTCACTGCCTCGAGCGCGCATTTTCGCTCCACGGGACGCCTCGGAGAACCCGTTCGCACTCACACGGACGGGCGCAATTTGGAACCGAGTCGCCCCCGAAAAAAATTATAGTACTTGAGCACAATTATCAGTAGTACAGCTTCCTCCAACGAAGGTACGGCGACTCCAAATAATGCCATTTTTTTTAAGGTTACGAACTTTTAATACCGATATCCAGAAAATATTTAATCTCCAAAATAATAAAATATTCCATCTATGGATGAGGTTGAAAAGCTGCGCAAGCAAATCACATGTTGCCGCCCTTCCCTCAATTTCGAGTCAGCATTTCGAGGCTGGTTCCCGAGCTCGTTTGCCTTTGGTTCAAGGAAACTTTGAGTCGTGATGTTTATAAATTAAAAATATAAATAAATGATATAGTAAATAAATAATAAATAAGTAATACATAAATAATAAATAAATAATAATACATAAATAATAAATAAATAATACAGAAATAATACATAAACAATAAATAAGCAATAAATAAAAAATAAATAAGTAATAAATTGTAAATGACAAAAAAGCAAATAAATAATATGTTGTCAATGAAAGTCCGTGCCCAACAAAGGGGAAGTGTGGAACTTGGAGAGTATTATTTGACTGGGACATGCAATTCTTTCCAAAGCTCCACAGTGGTAATAAATCCTTGAGTGAACTCCAGAATTTTCTCCTTTCTCTCGGACATTTTAGTGCCACGACGATGAATGGGAAAATCGTCTTTGAAGGGGAGTGGCTAAACAAGCAGATTTCTGTGGTTGATAAAAGAAGATCTCGATGCCCGCCCTGTAGAAGCTATATTTTGTATAAAGTTAACGCAAGTTGAAGATAAATAAATTAACGAGTTCATTCACGATATGAAGACAGTGCCTTAATATTGTCGAATTGCGAATCGAGCCGCTTCTCCCGGCAGGAGGAAGTTGGGTCGGATCGAGACGATCAAGGAACAGCTGCTGTTGTCGCTGGGGATGCGGCATCCGCCGAGGAACGTCCCCAACATCACGGATTCGGAACAATGGAGGAAGATGGAGGAGGTGCTCAAGGAGGTCGGGGTGGAGAATCCGCCTCCGCCTCCACCGTCCCCCGTCCTCGCCGAGAAGATCCAAAGCTTCTACCCCCTTTGTTAGTCAGAGACGATATATTCTCTGACGATATTTATTTTTCTTTATTTTTTTTTAAATCGTCAATATTGATTTAACTCATGTTTAGGAAACTCCTCCATTTGTATAAAATAATTGAAAATTTTTCATCTTAGGTAACTCAGGAGGGGAATCGGAGGAGGAGTGGGACATGCCCCTGCACTTCGACCTCTCCTCTGCCCTCGTGTCCCTGCCCAGCATCGAAGTCAAAGTGTTAGACGCCGACCTCCGATTGTATTATCAGGCATTGGAACTCGTTCCATCTACCCAACTAACAACGCTCGTCTGGGCTATTTTTTTTTCGTCACAGTGGCCCTATGAATAATTTCTAGGCCCTTCGGGAGAGCGAGAATGCAACGGATTCGCAGCAATCTGACCTCTATCGGGTTTCCCTCTACGAGGACCTGCTGCACAAATGGGGTCAGGAAAGGAAATTGAAAAATTAAGTTTAAAAAATAGAATTGCTAAAACAAAAATAAAAATACTAAAATAAAAAATAAAAAATGTTAAAATTAAAAAGTTAAAATAAAAATAAAAAATATAAATAATATAAATAAATCTAAATAAATTCAAATTAAAAATACAAAACAATTAAAAATGAATGATAAAAAATGAAAAAGAATAATTAAAAAATAAAATAAAATAAAAATGAATCTAAAAAAATATTATAACAAAATGCTAAAATAAAAAGTAATGAAAATGAACAAACATTGGATATGGTAGGGAGAAGAGTGCCGGTATTGGAGCATTGGGTGTCCAGGAATTGGACGGGATGGCTGCACATGACACTTACTTCGACGATGAAAAACTCGGTGGAACCGCGCGGTTACCTGGGTCTGATCCTGCAGGTGACCGATTCCTCCGGCCGACAGGTCGACCCCTCGCTTCTCTTCGTCCCCAGGAACTGCTCCGGAGCTTTCGGTAAACGACGCGACGAAATCGCCGGTTTCGTATCGAGAGGCTCTTTTAGGCATTGATAAAAGAACTGGAAAACGGGAGAGAGAGCACAAAATTCCCTTGTCGATCGCTGGAATGGTTCTGAAAAATAAATTCATATATAAGATTCGATACGCATAGAGAGCCTAACGTGGGAAAAAGGGAAATTTGGAAAATTGATGTAAAATTTCTCCATTCTCATTTCTCTGCTCTCACATGTTTGCAGACTCGGAAAGTCCTTTACCGGGCGCAGGGGACCTAGCGGCAGTCACTATCAACAACCAACTCGTGCTGACGCACCGCCTCTACCCAACACTGGACCTGAAGACCGTGAACGTGGAGCGACACCTATCCACCAACCACGGAAGCTTCGGCTTCCGCTCCCCGCCCCACGATGTCACCAGCGCGTCTCACCGCCGCGACTACGACGAAGACTACGACACGGGCGACGGCGACGGCGACTACGGCGCGCTCTACTACGACGAAGACGCGACGTCGGATCGCCGCCCCGACTCCCCCGCGACCACGACGCCGACCCCGGAGCCGGATGAACCCCCGCCGGAAGAACCCGAGGACCGGAAGTCCAAACCCGGCCGACGGAAGAAGGGCAACCGACACCCGCGTCGCCGCCACCGGAAGCAGAAGAAGCACCGCCGCGACCGGACCAAACCCCGCAACCGGCGGCCCCGCGACCCCGACCCCACCGGATGAACCGAAAGAGGTCGCCCTTCGACACCGGACTCCGCAACCCCCGAAAGGTCGCCGAGTCGCGCCCTCGTCTGCGCAGGCGCAAACAAAAAACTCACCCACCGTTCCAAAAAAAAAAAACCGCAGCATTATGTATTGTGATGTTCCGCTTCTTTCGGCAGCTATTTCTCTTCCTGACGTACAATCGCAAACGAGTTGTATATGTCTGTATCGCCATCTACCTCACATCCCCTCCCCCTTCACATCCCCTCCCCCCCTCACTTCCCCCCCCGCCCACTTCCTTAGAGCAAGGCAACTTCTCCTTTTTCCACGCATTTCAGTCTCTTCTAGACCAGAGGAAGGGGAAGAAGATATGGTTATTCTTTCTTGGGTTGGACAGACATAAATTCCCTTTTNGGGGGGGGAGTCATGTGAAATTTCCGGTATTTCTTCGATGTAAATTTTTTTTTTTCCGGGGGAAAAATGGAAATCTAGCGGGAGTACACCCGAGAAAAATAAACAAAAAAAACTGGAAACGTGTCACGCCGATGGGCGACGGAGGAAAAAATCAGCGAACCGTGTCAGCGGGAATGTAACCGTCGGTTAACGATCGCAAACCGTTCCCGAGATCCTACATCCTGAGGTTATCATCATCAAACCTGAAATTTACGGGTTGAAGATTTCACACGTCAGTATCCCAGTGCCCGTCCACCGGCGTGGTCATCCTCCAAGTGTGGTCATCCTCCAAGTGTGTGGTCATCCTCCGGTGTGTGGTCATCGGGAGACGACTCTCTCGGGCGTGCTCGAATCTTCATGAAAGCGAAAAGATTAGATCCCACTTCCCTTTTGTTCCTCGCGAATCAGGTCCAGCCATTCATTCATTTCCAAGCCATTCATTCATTCGTTCGTTTATCGCGACTCGTTCGGGACTTCCGTCAGCTCGTTTCCTCTGATAATATTTTATCCCTCCGTGATTTTATATTTTTATTTATTTAATTTTATTTTAATTTTATCTCTTTTTACTGCATTTATCACCCCCCGTGGAGGTTCCTGACTTCTGCGTCCTTCCCGGTCTTTGTCCTTGAGTATCCGTTTCGAAATCCCCCCGGGGGCAACGTCCTTAAGGACTTCCTCCATCGTCGGAGGAAGTCCTTTAAGAAATATCGTGGCTCTATAAAAACTGATCCTTGAAGGAAATGCCGGTTCGCCAAGGGCAGAAGGTCGAGGCATTCGATCTTGTCATTTACCAATAGCCAATATTGCCAATATTGTCATTTGCGGCAGTATTGACGTCACTGAACCCTTTCTCAGGATAAGCGATGACTACCACGGGACTTAGTTATCGTTTTCCTGAGACCGAGTTCGCTATAAATTTTAGTGTCTGGACACAGTGAGGGAAATGAGTGGTCGGATCATGAGCACAGGCGAACCCGTCTTCGATTTCGTGTGAGTCCCACAACCTCATAAATGTTATTTCTCTTTTCATAATATTGATACCATTGAATTGAAATGAAATCACCATCGCGGTTCCTCAAACGGATTTTTTGCAAGTCAATTTTTGGCGCTTGCAGGTTTTTATTTTTATTTTCAGGGCATACCGATGTCTCAAATTAGAACAAGACTTTAAATTTGAATTGAACACGAGTTCCATTTATACCTCGAGTCATTTCTTTCTGTTGAAACAGACACGTGGTATTTGAACATTTATTTCATCCCTCCCTTGAAACAGATCATTCATTATTTGGACACGGCTTGCATGCCGATCCAGTGCCGGGGGATTTTGATATTTAAAAAAAGGCCTTTTCGTTCTTTCTGTATGATTTTACGAGTTTGTCTATGTCTGCGTTGTGTCCCAATTAAAAAGAATTGTTCTTGCATCGCTCGTAAATTTAATTTCAAAATGTTTACTATATTCGCGACGATTGATCACCCCGTTTCCCTGTCCGGCAGGAGCCAGCTCCAGGAGCCGGACGGGCCGTACCGTAGCGTGGGAGTGGACAACCCCGCCATGTCCTTGGAGGACCACGTGATCACCTTGCCCCGCTTGACCCCTGACCTCGCCGCAATCAGCAAGAACCCCGCTCAGCCCTTCCCCGTCTTCGTCGGCACCATGGAAACCGAACTCCCCGTGAGCCATGCTCGGCACGTCTGCTGAGTCTTCTGCGGGTGGCTCATGGGCCTCCAGGCAGTAAATTAACTAATTAACTAAGCAGTAGATTGAAGCCTTCCAACCAAATATATATATATATATATTTCCGGGGGATGAGCGTCTGGGAGTATCAATACAGAAAAAATCTGTTCTAACACATCCGAACTTCGAAGTTTAAATCCACAATCCCAAGGGCATGTTCTAAATACGATATTATATGTTCCTTTTCGAACCCGCTTGCAGTAAATGTTGTTGAACGGGGCCCCCTCGTAATATTTTGACTTTTTTCATTCGGATTGCATGGAGGGTGTGACACAAGAACCAGTCTCAAACGATCATGGATCAGTGAATAGCAGGGTTGCATAAGACGGATCGCTTTGTGAAACAAATTGTTATGTAATGGTTCCTTCACGTCTCCTCCTCCCCCCGTCTCATTACGCTTTGTACCGTTAGATACATTTTTTTGTATACCACGAAGAGAAGAGATCTCTATCGAGATTGCGAAGAGGAAAGACCGACTCGGGGTGGGTTAATATTCTGACCCTGAATGAGGAAAAGGAATTAAAGGTCAGAATATCTGAAGACCTTCCTGACCGTTCGCTTCCACGCCAGAAGGAAAAAGCTGAGAAGCGATGACAACGGGGCCGGATGGAGAAAGGATGTTAGGATGACGAGGTCCTGTTCCTGCAAAGCTGAAGTCTTTTCGTAGGGGGGGAGGGGGGGGGGGGGGCTTTTCAACGGTTCGCTGAGAGGATGCCGTTCCGTGCCGCAAGGTTCGTTGGGATCAATCCGATCTGTCCGCCAATTACTGCTGTTGATCCGGGTTGCCTTGGGATTGCCCTGGGAGGCCTTGTTGCGTGAACCGTGAAAAGAGGCGTGCGTTTCTCTGCACCTATTTGCTTCTTCTCGCGTGGAAACTTAATGATCCTTTTTTTTATGAGGGGATTCCAGTTTCGGTACCCGTTGGAGCCGGAACTCGTCCGGGGAAAAGTCGAGCGAAGGTCGGCAATGCCCTCCCGTGATTTCCTTAATTGCTGTATAAATCACGAGTCTAAACGAGGGGCCCGAACAGGACCACGAGCCATTCCGTTCTGCAGCACAACGCACGCCAGATTACTCGATCCGGTCGGTCGATTTCACGGCATCCACAATGTCCTCGGCGTAGTTATAGAAATATCACGGAGGTTGAGGTCATTGTTATGGATGACATAACGAAGTCGCCGATGATCGATTTCGAGTAAATCGGAAAAGGTGTAGACTCTGAATGCTCTTGCCGAAAATGCCAGTTCTTACCAGTTCCAGTGTTTGATGAAACTTCGATTCTTCTTGCTGGAAATTGAGTTTGAAAAAAATATCGAAGAATGCAAAATTGTTTAAATACTGCTTCAATTTCTTTCCTTGATGTTTTACATTTACTTTTTTACTAGCAACCCTTCGATTGGATAAAAGTCGCTGATTCGCTTTGCATCATTTATGATTTCGATACAACTTAAAATTACTTTATGGGAACAGCAATAAATATTCGATAAGTATTCGTATAGGTTTGCAATTGCAGATGATAAAAATAGCATCTTTTCAAATTGACATCTTTTATTTATTTTTCCAGCGAGGGGTACATTAAGAAAAATAAATAAATAATTAATGGGTCAATTAGGTCTGCATCATATTTCCTTCGGGGGCAATTTCTCGCTTTCTCAGCCACAAATCCAGAACACAAAGCAAACACGAGGCAGATGACGAACATCATGCTGACACCATGTTTCTCTTTAAAAAAAATTGCACGCGTCTCTCGCACTAATTGCAGTTCGTGCCATTTTCCAGGCTCTTCAAATATCAAACATAACGTCATCTGGCACGCTTACCTCCCCAATCATAGAATATGCAATGAAATTATTATTACATTAAGTGATTAGCGACTTCATTGAGTTTTAATTTAAGTTTTAATTAGTTACTGATAATTATTGTAATGAAATTCACACTATTTTCTTCCTTAAAATAAGAGGTGTCATTATCACCTAATTGGTTATTAAATGTAATTAATTAGCAAATAGCACAGAGCCGACGATTCACGAGGGGAAAAATGTTGCACTTTTTATTCATTCCGTGCAAGTTCCGTCATTCAGATTTGGTAAATCCAATCGTTTGGATTATTCGAACGAGAGTGTTAATGAAGCCGAATCAAGACTTCTCAAGTGATTTCGTATTTTTTGGTAGTTTATTTGTTACCGTGTTTTAACTTCGCTCACAAAAATAGCTCACTGACAATTTATCAGCAAGTTGTTGTGCGAGAGTGAGAAAATACTTTAATATTTATATATAAAATAAATAATAATTTTATTTATATATGTAAGTATTTATATATAAATAAAAATTCTTTTATTCATGCATAAATAAACAAGTGAAACATGCTAACTGCATTCTCATCAGCTGATGCTGAGAGCGATGGATTAATGGCAACAGTTTCTTTGAGCAAACGAGGGAGATTTTCGAAAATAAGGTAGGAAAAGGGGCCAAGAGAAGGGGCCAAAGAAGTCAGGGGGAGGGCGAGGCTGTTGGACCGTTTCGGAAGCCCTGACCCGTGAGGAGCCTGCGCAGGGGGTGCTATCGAGGTGGATAGGATATATTGGATCTATATTTTATCTATCCTTGATCGCACCCACGCATTGAATTTTGAATATGTTCGATCTGACTTGCGTGCGATGGCCATCTCTGAGACGATGGCGAAACACAAAGACGCGGTTTAGCGTCAGGTCAAATACAACTAGAAAGGTTTCTATTGTAGCAACGTGCGGAAGGTGGGGGTTACCTCTTTTTGGATTTTATTTACCTTGTCTCACTTAAGTCTGACTGTGATGTAGTCTTTCAGAGGCTTGTCACAGATCTGACACTGACAGTCGCCAGATCGACGGTCTAAATACAGACGCTTCTGGCCGCAAAACAGAAAAAAAGGCGAACAAGGATGCCAGGTGTTACTACTATGGCAGACACTTGAAATGTTCAATGTACATTCCTTCTCTGAAAGCTTTCCTTCCGCTTTCTTTCCGCGAACACTCTCTGATTTGGTGCTGTCGATGAAAAAAGTTCATAGTGATCCACTACTTCATGATTTTTATTTCCCCAGGGGATGAATGAGAAGCGAAATGGGGGGAACACGGCCTATGTCGGTGCCAGGGGGGAGGAAAAGGACCCGGAGGAAGAGGAAGACGGAATAGCCTGTGGATGTTTTTGGCGGTTCCGGTCCTCCATAGCCGAGTCGTATCAGACGAACCAGCGCTACATCCGGATGGTCCTCGTCACCCTGCTCTGCGGCGGGTACAACGCCTACCTGGTGGCCGCCATCTGGCACAATCGGGAGAAGGGATTGAGCTGGGACTTCTGCAACGGCCTGGGCTTCCTCCTCGTCGTCACGGGCCTTCTATACTTCGGCCTCTTCTATTTTCTCATCCTGAAACCCCTCTGGCTCCGGTTTGGACCCATGGAACGCGTGCGCAAGATCACCGAAGCCATCCACGACAGGCCTGTTTTCCGGTAACTGCATTTCTCTTCCTTTACCGCACGGGTTAAACTCTTTTTTAGTATGAATTCATCAATCTTGCGTCAAGACAAGGATTAGCAACCAAATTTTGCCATCTTTCTATTTCAGCCGTCCCATTGATTTCATATGAACGAGTTAGCTGCACGTTTAATTATTCTCCCTTTGTTTTTAGCTCAGTTTAATCCCTTTTAATATTAGTACTGACTTCATCTGCTCTGCAATTCTTGCTATGTCCGTTTATTCTGTTCCAGAGTTTTTATTCAAATTTTCATTTTCGCACTGCTCGTCATAGTGCTTTCCTGCACCGACGTCTCGACCTCAATTGAAAGTACATGAGGGTCACCATGTCACCCAGCTCTAGCACATATCTGGGCTGAACCGGTTATAGCCCCAGCCCGTTCCGTCAACTTAATTTTTTCCAAGGCAAGAAACCCAAACCGTTTTCAGTTAAAACGCAGATCAGTAACGGCACGGTGAAAAAGCCTCTTCCTTGGTCAAAGCGGTGAGCAGAGACTCCCAGAGGGCAAAATATAATATTATACGTTCTATCTATACTATTATCTATTATCTATACTATATTTCTGAATGTTTGTGTCTGTCTTTCCTTTAAAAGGAACGTCCGACCGAACTTTGCATGGCTTCCTCATTTCAAAACGACGCGCACATTTTTAAATGTCATACTTTATGTTTAAAATAAAAGTCCCTAATATAATTACACAATCACTGCTATATGAGTCACCGGTGGCTCGTACAGCCAACCTACCGTGCCTATAGGCATTTTGGTCTCGCAGTGAACGAGTTAAGGGATTAAGGATTAGGTGAAGCTTCATTATATCCAAGGTCCTTCATGAGGTCAGGGGATTTCTGTTTCAAACCTACTGGAACATGAGAAGGCATCCCATCTGCTGTCTCAGGTTTCCCCGTGATGCAAGGAATAAATTTTCCCCATTCATGGCGAAGGAACGCACTAATTATTTTTAGTTTAGAAACTTATTATTTTTTTTTTAAATCGCGATGAGGAATTTTTTTAATCGCGAACAAGGTCTTGCAGTCCGGGCTTCGTCCCAAGGAAGTACGGCCAAGCGCATTGACGGCTTCGGGTAAAAGATGAAGAAAAGGAAGGAGGGAGGAAGAATTTGGAGATTATCCAGCTATCGGGATAATCCAGTTGTCGAGATTACCCAGTCGCCAAGGCCATGGACCCATTCACATCCATTTCCGATCTCGGCTAAATAATGAGAGAGGACGAAGATTTCCCCCCGTTTTCAATCTCTCTCGTCCTTGAACGAAATAGAATTTCATAGAAATAAATTAATATTTTCAGGAAAAACGATCCCCTCTCCCTTCTCAATTATGAATCCAACGGTTATCCGTTTTTTTTTAAATGTCTTTCCTTCTGATTGGAGGAAATGGAGCCCTTCCCCACAAATGATTTCTTCATATGATTGGGAAAAAAAGATTAAGGACTGCATTTCAAGGTCACAGCCAGGAATCGGATGAAAATTTAATGCGATGCCCTCGTGCTTCTGGGCATGAGGGCATTGTTCTCAGCAAACGATCAGGTCTGGACTGGACGGAAGCAATAACGGCGCGGAGCTCATTTTCAGCATCCAAATTGCAACGAATTAATTTTTAAATAAATAAAAAATCTGGCCTATTTATTAAGCGAAAACCAGACAACACTGAGCACTCAATTACGGCACGGAATACACGATACGTCTGGATCATCGGATATCGCCGATGGAAGCGAAAGTAAGGAATCAAGGGGATTGCTTTTCATTTGGTCATCAACTCCTGGAGAAAGGATAAAAAAGGACTCGATCTCGTATTTCATAGAAAAAAAAAGGAACTGCTATCGTGTCGCCCTCGACGCAAAATGCGTCGGGGAGACAGGACGCTTATCGAGTCATCGGGCGTCATCCGTAAAAAAAAAAAAAATCCATACAATGCATAGTTTTTCGAATTGCACATTGGAATAAATAATATATTTAAAATTATACTCCCTCCGGTTTGAGAACCGCTGTATTAACCCTTTGCTTACTTCGTGCCCAATTAGGCATGAGGATGAAAATAGTTTTTTTTTTGTAATTCATATTCCGCCCATAGAATTCATTCTATTGTTCTGAAGCATGGGATCCACCCCTGACACTATCCACCAAAATGTAACCATGGAAACCAATTAGCCGTCTATTTACAATTTATATTTTAATGCGAAAAATCGTGAAAATTTTCGTCGGCTTGCATATCGGGTTCATGAATGATTTTTCTTAATAGAAAAAGTGTCGAAAAAATGGGCATAAATTAATTCAATACTGAAAGTCTCTCTCAACGATTGCATGCGCAGCAAAGGATTTCTTCGTCTGGCATCCCTCACGGTTCCCCGCGTAATGGAAATGGCATGTTCGTAATGGTAATGGCAAATGTGATGCCAAAATTTTATTTATTTTTATTTTTATTTTTACTGCATCTGATTTTTGCATCACGCATCCAAGTCACTACCCACTGCGAAGATGCAGCACAAACCACGTCGGGATTAAGCCCCACGGTCGAGCGAACTCATGTGGCCCCTCGAGTACCCATCATTCCACCCGTGGCCCCTCCATCTCCCGGGACCCGTAGCGGACAACGATGCCGAAGGAGGGGAGCGTGGCGTTGAAAACAACCATGAGAGAAGCCCGTAACCCATCCATGACGGACTACCGTAGCGAAATTAGGGCAATCTACGCTACTCTTCGAAGAGGAAGAATTTTTTTTTTTTTAACAAGGAAGGTTCTACTTTAAGGTCCACCAGAAATCGATACCCCCCCCCCCCTCTCGTGACGTTATTACAGGCTTCTTTTTTTTTTATACCGTAGTTGAATGAGGTGTTTGGTCGTTAATGTTGTTCTCAATCACAGTTTCCATTTATACATACTATTATAATATAATTGTATATGTAATTTTGTTATTCCCTCGTCGCTCTTGTTTCCTGATAATTTTTTCGTTGTTGTGAAGGTATGCCCCATTCGGAGGACACTTCGGGTTCGGCCTGGCCGTGGCCGTGTTCCTCATCGTGGATACGAAGGAGGACCGACGCCGATTGATTTCCATCATCGGCATCTTCTTCCTCGTCCTCTTCGGCTTCCTATTTTCCAAGCATCCCGACAAGGTAAGCCCAAGTGAGAATATTTTATTAGGGAATATTTTAATTCGATTCGAGGGTGTCACCCAGGGGGAACCAGTCCACGTTGCGCAATCGGCAAGTGAGGCTCGGATTGCGGAATGGCTTGTAAGGTTATGCGTGGAACGCATTCGGTGATCATGTAGTCCCTGCCCCTCCCGTGAAGCCTCGATAAGAGGTAAGGCAAAGAGGTAATGAGGTAAGGTAAGGTAACGAGGACAAAGCGGGGTAATGAGGTAATTTACCTTCGAGGACGAAGCAGCATAAATATGGCCAGAGGTAACGCGGCACACATTCCCACGATGATGCCCTTCGACCTTGACCCTGAGACGTCGATATCTGCAGAAACGCCTCGCGTCCACACCCACCCTCGTACGATTTTTAGTCCCGTCACGTGCGTGTTTCCCATCCTCGCTGCACGCACCGCGAAGGGTCGGTCGTCGCAATCGACATGCAAGACGCTTCTTCTCGGACCGGGGCAACCCAGAATTATGAAATCGGATGGCAGACGGACATTTCGAAACGCAAATGACCGTAAACAGCACCTTTCCTCCTCGTCCGATCATTAGCGTAAACATTACTTTGATGAAAAATGTGTCACGAATTTAATTTAGATTTAAAAAAAAAAACGCTGTCCTGGACAGGTTTCGCGCCACCAGTTCGTAATTTATGAGCGAGGAGCTGTGAGCGAATTTTTTTCCATGTGGAGAAGTAAAAGTCGCCCTTGGCAGGATATTAATTTCTTCGATGACTTTTTTTTCCCTTCTTGATTGATAATGAAATTTCCAGTGGGCAGGAGTGCTTTAGAGCTCGGTTTATATCAGGCGAGGGTCTCCGAGGGGGGACACGAGAGATAATTTAATCTCTGCGGATTATCAGCGCTAAGAAATCATGAGGGAAAAAAAAAACCTGAAGGTTTCCCGGGAATTTAATTTGCAATTTAAATGCGAAGTTACTTTTCATTCAAAAAAAGTTCTCGAGGGCCCGGCAGCAGCTCGTCCTCGCATCAAGCTGCTACAAATGCAGATTGCATTCTGGGGATTTCCCAGCGAGACGGGCAGCTTGACGTGGCAGCGTCATAAGCTAATCCCATTGCGATCACGAAGAGCTCGGTCTTGCCTGAACGCTTCGCAAATCCAGTGACTCATCCGTCGTCAGCGGCATGCTCATCCGTCGTCGGCGGAATGTTCATCCGTCGAAGCAGCTGTTCCCTTTTCATTGTTTTTGGGACCGATCGATTTTCATCTCGAGATTTGGATTTCGCCAGATTATCATTAATGGCTTTCCGTTGCAGATAAAGTGGCGGCAGGTGTTCTGGGGCCTGGGCCTCCAGTTCGTGTTCGGCCTCGTGATCCTCCGGTGGGAGGTGGGGAATCAGGTCCTTCAGTGCGTGGCGGATAAGGTGACCGCGTTTCTCGGCTTCACGGATGCCGGATCCTCGTTCGTGTTCGGGTATCTCGTCGATGGGGACCCGAACCCGGCGCTCAAGTTCTCGCCCGTCTTTGCCTTCAAGGTTCATCGTCGCTCTATTTTTCAATATTTCAAATTCTACAACCGTACCTCTAAAAATGCAAATTTTGGGTTTCGCTTCAGGTGCTCAGCGTGATCTTCTTCTTTGGCTTCGTCACCCAAATCCTCTACTATTACGGGGTGATTCAATGGATCGTGGTGAAGCTGGGCTGGGTCCTTCACGTCACCATGGGCACCACGGCCGCCGAGTCCATGAACGCTGCTGCCAACATCTTCATCGGGATGGTGAAAAATCACACCTTTGTTCTCCATCCTTTGACCTTTCGACTTCGAAATTTGCTCAATCTTCTTTTCAATTCTTCCGTTTCGATTCTGTCAGACGGAGGCTCCTCTAATTATCAAGCCGTATCTGAATGACATGACGAAATCCGAGCTCCATGCCGTCATGACCGGGGGATTCGCTACCATCGCAGGTATTTTCTATCGTGCTGCATCGGAGGATTATAGTTTTTTTTCTGAGGATGATCTTTTCTCACTATCATTCTGCCTGTTTTATTATTATTATTATTATTATTTTTTATATAATGAACGTCTTGAATAATAAGAAAACCTAGCTGGTTCAACAGTCACATTTCGTATACCAAAGTATGATTTCGCTTTTCACAGAAGCTCTTGAGAAGAAAGATGTGGAGAACATGAAGGGTACCACATATGAATAATTGAATGACTTTTTTGGAATGGTGTAATTTATTAAAATTATGTCTGCTCTGGATTCCCCATGCCCTAATGCACTTGTAAGCCACCCCTACAGTAAATTTTATTTTCGCGAGAGTCATTACTGAAAGGACATGTGCAGGGGGCGTGTTCGCGGCGTACCTGTCCTTCGGCGTGAAGGGCCTGCACCTGCTGACGGCGAGCGTGATGTCCGCCCCCGCGGCCCTGGCCTGCTCGAAGCTCTTGTACCCGGAGACGCGGGTGTCCAAGACCACGGCCAAGAACATCAAGATCGAAAAGGGGTACGAAGGAGGAAACTGTTTTTATATTTATATATTATATTTACACTGCTCAAGATTTGAAAATCACACTTATAAATAACTATAAACGTTACATTGCTCCGGTACAATCATTTGGTTTCACGCAGCTTGGATACAGTCAAATGGGTCGCCAAACGACAAAATGGCAGAAGTACTTGCGCTAAATACGTTATTTTATTTATTTGCATCGTCAAGAGATGTCATATGTTCCACTTTTCTCCGCGAAATCAAACGCAGGACTGAGGTGAACGCGTTGGACGCGGCGGCGCACGGCGCGAACAGCGTGATCATGCTGGTGGCGAACATCGTCGCGAACCTCATCGCCATGCTCGCCTTCGTCGCCTTCCTCAACGCCGTCATCGCCTGGTTCGCCGCTCTCGTCGACCTCCAAGGCATCACCTTTGAGGTGGTCATCGAGTCCTTTAACGAGTTTCGTTTTTGTTTTGGCATTATAGGCTCGCATGAATATTCACAAACGTTTCTGCGATTCGTCAAGCTCGCGTTCTCTTTCCAGTTGCTTGTAAAAAAAAAATTACGGATTATACCAAGTAGGAATAATTGTCACAAAGCATTGGAAGATTTACCTGCACTTCTTGCAAAATACTTTGCAGTGCTTTTAGCACTTCAAAGCAATTTAGCAAGAAGTGCTTCAAACATTTCAATCTCCGCTCATGGCACCACTAAGTCGCTCGGGCGTACGATATAAACCTGTTCGCGCGTTCAGGGTCATGTCGGGGCGAATCGCGCCGAATCGCGTCATCTCTAACTCGGCGTCCAAGGAGAGTATGATTTGTTGTTTTTTTTCGCTTATTCGGCAGTATCTGATCTCGCTGCCGCTGATCCCAGTGGCGTGGGTCATGGGGGTGGAATGGTCCCAGTGCCACCACGTCGCCGAACTCATCGGCATCAAGACGGTGCTCAACGAATTCGTCGGGTACCAGAGACTCCAAGAAATGCAGAAGGCTTCCATCCTCTCGGTACGGCCAGTCCATCTCATGTCTTCAATCCGTTTTCGGTCGGATCCTGAAACTAAATGCTGACTTTGAAAGTATCTAGCACCAGAGTGGAAATCAACAAATGTGCCAAATGCGCGGGGAAATTTCCATTAAACTTTTTGGAGGATTTCTTCATATTGACGTATTCGCCTTCAATGCAAAATAACACAGCAACAAAATAATACAGCAACAAATAAACGAAATTTCATTTTTTAAACATATTTTAAACGTTAAATAAAAATGGAATGTCTGAAGGAACTCTGGGAAATGTTAACCAAAAGCCTTGAATTATGCTGAGAACGCAATGGCTTTCTTTCGCAGGAGAGGTCGGAGATCATCGCGACGTACGCCCTGTGCGGTTTCGCAAACCTGGGCTCCATCGGGATCTTGATGGGAGCCCTCAGCGGCCTCATCCCCGAGCGCCGATCCGAAATCTCCAAGCTCGTCGTTCGCGCTATGATTGCTGGCAATATGGCCTGTCTCCTCACCGCATGCGTTGCTGGTAGGGCGTTTTTATGACAGGATTTGCTGGGAGTGATCTCGTTTGACTTTAGTTATGGGTTCTCATTGTGAAATGCGTTTCGAGTAAGATATTATCAGAGAACCTGATAATAACATATGAGGAAGCGAAGCTGCATCCCTTTCGTGAAGGTCACCCGATGCTCGTCACCCTCTCGTGCGTGTTATAGGTACCGAATGAGCGCACACTATGAAATTGCATCACGCGAAAATGAGATCGGCTTTTTGTAACCGTGTAAGTAATAGTTCAGTAATTGAACGAGCTGGGTAAGAATCAGGCGAGGGGGATGCATCAACATTCTGTTTACACTTCAAAAGTCCATGTAACATTTAAGGTGTACCAAGGATTGCACTTTTGCAAAGTAAAATTCAGGGAAACTTTCTTCCGAGGTTCAATTGAAAAGAAATAACCCGATCAAAATCCTGCTTACGCCACTGGGGTCGATCGACAGTATTCGAGTACTGCACGACAGTTGTATAACAGCGCAAGAACACGGGTCCAAAATGAATAAGGCTGAATATTAATTGAATATTCTATCCTAATATGCACGAGGCCTTGAAGACCCTGGAATGACCTGTACTTTTCTCTGACTTGCTTCAATTCTATAGTCATTCACTTTCGAGAAAGGAGCTCAGGGTCAAAGGCAAAGGCAGTGGACGTGCTCTACGGACGGATCTCCCTGATTAGTGGGATTAAAAATTGTTTCTCAATGTTGAAAACAGCTTAGTTTTGCAATCATCACAAAAGACCCTTTTGGGCCTTTTGCTCTCCATTTCTTGGAACAGAATCAAGTCTCAAGGTCCCAAGAAAGAAACGAAAAATTAATCTCACTGATTTTTCTTTATCGCAGGAACGCTGTTGACGACTTCGTGAATGACTTCTCATCGACTACATTTTTAGACGACGGTGTGATTGGAAGACGCGGTTCATTTTTTGAAGTTCTGACGATACCCAGTATTTTCATTGTCTATGGATGGAGTTCCTATTTTTACAATATCGAATAAAGATTTTATGCAAAGCCTAAATTTCAGGGTGCCATTTGAAGAATTTTCTAAATTGCAACGTGAGCTTTTCAGATGATGAAATCCAGAAGTGAAAACACAAACAACTGCATCATCCTTGCAATTGCCCGATGAAGGTTATAAGCCGACTAAAGGCCATTTCAAACTTTGCGCGTTAGTATGCTATGCGTCCGAACCGGTAAGCTTTGCATGCCATGCGGCGTGTGAGCCAGCACACCCCTTAGTTTCTCATGCATCCCACACAGCACAAGTATTCAATACATCCCAAAGATGTCCCCAGAGATATCCCCCCTGCACAGAGACATTTTGATATTCCTAAGGTGTCCCATTTCCATGCAAAACATCTCCATCCCAGATAACATTCTTCGTGGGGCTCACGTTGGCCTCGTGGTCATCCGGTCACCAAATATGGTCCTCCGACGTCAGCCCCCCCCCCCCCCCACAGTAGCACCCCAATATTGGATCAATATCGACTGTCAATGAATATACATATTGGCCCGGTATTGGCATCCATCTTGGACCATTATTGGGATTACTACCCGGAAAAACGTCAGGCCAATATTGGCGTTAATATCTTCCCAAAATTCTTCATTTAGTGGAGGCATTCCTATAGGCCTGTATAGTACGGCCTGCACCAGTACAACCCTTCGCCCATGCATTTGTCTGTCCCGTGGATGGGCAGGAGACTTAGAACAGTAAAGAGGTTGACCTTTCCCTGAATGTACTAATTGTAGTACATTTCAGGAGAAGGTCCGCTCCTTACTGTTCTTCAGAGTATCCGCGAATTCAGTCCTTCATTTCTTCATTATGTCCTCAGGAAGAGGAAACAGAAGATTGTGCCCACAGATTTTTTTTGTGCTAATACTCTTCTGGGATATAAGAACTCGGTGTTCGTAGGGGTAGGGAATATGAGCTTGGTTATATCCTGGATTCCCATGATTCTGTCTCGAATATGCGGATAACAGAAGATGAATTGTCCGACTTAATTGCACGCTATAATGAGACTAGGCGAGACACGTACAGTACTTCTATGTATTGTGCGAAGAGCGAGGCCTTTACCTCCAGAAGAGCGAGGCCTTTACCTGAAGGAGAACTTCAGCATTTCCCAAAAACTTTTAAGTGCGGTCGGGCGCATTGGCTCATGGGTCGGTTCATTATTGGCTCGATGATGGAATGGCAATATTGGGGGAGCCAATATTTAACCTATATTGGCAATATTAGCAAAGGTGGAGCCAACGCACCCAATGTTGGTCCAGCATTGAGTACGTTGGCTACATCTTACATCTCTTCCTGTCAACCAGCTACTGATCCACTCGCTCGTCCTATCCTGGATCCCGTGCGCCTCCAGTTTAACCCGCAACCTCTTGTGAGGAACGGTATCGAAAGCTTTCGCGAAATCTAAATAGACGATGTCCACGGGATTCCATTTATCCCTCTCTTCCGTCGCCCAGTCGTAGAATTCGAGAAAATCGGTGAGACGATTTCGACGCCTCTTACAACCGTGTTGAGAGTCCCGAATGAGCGCGTTTCCTTCGAGGAAATCCAAGAGATGGTCCCTTAGTAAGCTCTCCATGATCTCCCCTGGGATACTCGTGAGACTTACCGGCCTGTAATTTCCTGGATTACTCTTTTCGCCCTTCTTAAAGATCGGTACGACGCCTGCTAGTCTCCAGTCCTTAGGTACTTCCCCGCGCGAAAAGCTGCTTTCGAATATAATTCTTAGCGGAACCGATATTTCTCTCGCGGTTTCCTTAATGACTCTCGCAGGAATCCCATCGGGGCCGGTCGCCTTGCCTTGTCTCGCCTAGTCTCATTATAGCAATCGATGAACTCGGACACTTCATCATTTGTTATCCGCAGACAGAATTATGGAGCCCAGGCCACAAACAAACTCATACTCTCCATGACGAAAAATAGGGCGACCCCAGATGAACGGAGTATTAGCATAGAGACAGTGTAACTGGAGGCGGCACTCCGCTCGAATCCCATTCATTGAGAGGGTCACAATATAGATGTCGCTGTCGATCCTCCACCTAGCGGGTGCATATCAACAACTCCTCCACGGCCGAGCAGCGGACTCAACGAGAGACGCGTGTTACGTTGATGAATCCCTTTGGGTCGAATCCCCGAATGAGTCGAATCCTGATTCTGCTGCCACGAAGCACGCCTCAAGGAAGTGTTGTTGATAACATGCCACCAGATGTCTCTGTAATATTTCGACCCTTCCTTACTCCTCGGAGTGTCGCCTCTAGTCAGCTCTCCACTCTATATTCTAACATGGGAAAAATCCTCCGTTTCCTCAACCTGAGGACATAAGGAAACGAAGGACTGAATTCGCAGATACTCCGTAGAACAGTAAGGAGTGGTCCTTCCCCTGAAATGTACTACAATTAGTACATTCAAGGGGAGATCAACCTCTATACTGTTCTGTCTCCTGCCAATCCATGGGACAGACACGTGCATGAGCAGGGGGTTGTACTGGTACAGGCCGTACTAGTACTGCAAATAGAAATGTCTTCATCATATGGGAATACCTCCACTGCGTAAAGATTTTAGAGGAAATATTAACGCCAATATTGGCCCAACAAGGGGCCCGGTAGTAATCCCAATAATGGTCCAAGATGGGTGACAATGTTGCGCCAAGATGTACGAGGGGCACTAGGCTAGGGCTGTCGTTTGTCAGGTTGCTTTAGGCTGAGCCGGTTGCTCTCTTTCCTCCGTGATGTACAATCATTCATGAGGTTACCATATCTTTTTCAAATTTATTGGAAAAAATGGAAGGGCGCAGGAAACGAAAAAGTGAAGCTGACCTGCCAGCTTTTCCGGTCTTCTCAAAGGAAGAAGTCCGCGCGTTCATCTTGTACAACTTCCTCTCAAAAAAAAGTGCTTCCGAGTGCCTCCATGATCTGAAAACGATTTGTAGGATTCAAGATCTGTCTCTGAGGACAGTCCAGAGGTGGTATGAAAAATTTCGCAGTGGAAATTTTGACCGCCACAATCAGCCGCCAGAAGGACGCCCAAAACCAGCGACCAATGATGAAAATGTCGCTGCTGTTGCTGCCCTCATCAAAGAAGATCCACGAATCACCTACGAAGTCATCCAAAGGACCCTTGGGATAAGTGCTCCATCATGCAAAACAATCTTGAAGGAACACCTTGGCCTCTCAAAAAAATGTGAGCGATGGGTTCCACACTGCTTGACAGAAGAGCAAAAACGGCGCCGAGTGGATTTTGCAAAATTTTTCCTCAAGAAATTCAAAAATGGAAAAGCAAAAACCTTCCAGAAATTCGTCACTGGAGATGAGACCTGGGTACCTTTCTATATGCCAACAACAAAGCGTCAGGGTCAAGTCTGGAGCAAGAAAGGAGAACCGTCACCAACAAAATTTCGTCGCGTCCAGTCCGCAAAGAAAACAATGTTTGCCATTTTCTTCTCTGCAAATGAGCTGATTGCTGCAGTTCCGCTGGAAGAGAGAAAGACAGTCACCGCTAAGTGGTACACTGAAGTTTGCTTGCCTGAAGTGTTTGAAAATATGCCTAGATGTCGATCCGACGTGGACTGGAGGCGCTGGTACCTGCACCATGACAATGCACCTGCACACACGGCCCATCTCACCATCAGTTTTCTGGCAGACAAGGGAGTCAACCTGGTGGAGGCGCCACCTTATTCTCCAGATTTGGCCCCTTGTGACTTTTGGTTATTTCCAAAAATGAAAGAACCACTGCGTGGGAGCCGTTTCTCTGACCGGGATTCGCTGATTTCTGCGGTCAACAAAGTGCTTGCTGCATTCAAAAAGGAGGATTATCGGGCCTGTTTTGATGCTTGGGTCAGCAGACTCAAGAAGTGTATCGAAATTAGCGGTGAATACGTGGAAAGGAATTAAAGACATGGTGCTTTAAGTGGAAGAAAAAATATTGTCTTTGGTGAATTATTTCTCGAGAAAATTGAGAACGCGACTTTTATGATCTAGTATCCCTCGTACTCGTATATTCCTTGGCAGCCGATTTTGATCCAATATTGGGGTGCTACTGGGGTATTAGCTGGTTTTTGCTCCATGTTGGCCATCAATTCGTACCTAATACTTAAATTCATTACCCAGTGGAGGTATTCCCATCTGCAGTACGAAGCCTGAAGTGTACTGTACAACCACCTGCCATGCACATGTTTACATATTCTGGATAGGCAGAGGACATAGAACAGGACAGATGCTGGCCTGCCACTGAACGTATTGAAAACAACACATGTCAGATGGTGAACCACACAATACGGTTCTTTGGAGTTCTCTGGAGTACCCACAAAATCAGTCCTTCATATCCTCATTCTTCTATCAGAATGTGGATACAGCGGATTTAAATTCGCGGACACTATCTTCTACATCTCCCTCTCGAATAGTCACCTAATGTTACAAACAGGGCCGGACCTAGCTATTTCAGCGCCCTGTGCAAAGAGACTCGCGCCCCCCCCCCCCCCCCCCCCCCCCCCCGCCCCTCCCCCCNCCCCCCCCCCCCCCCCCCCCCCCCCCCCATCTTTCCCTGCCTTCCCTCAGAAGGGAGAAGGGTCAATCCTTAGCGTCCGAAAAGACGCCGAAACGGAAGACATTTCCACTTCCTGAAGTAAAACTGAGGGTGGCATCCATAATAGCATTATTTATTCAGGCACGTTTTGACGCCCCTGGTGAATTTGCGCCCTGTGCGGAGGCACATGTGGCACATGCCTAAGGCTACAAAAGATATTACAAAAGAGTTCTTACATGGAATATGAGCTTGTTAATGGCCTGGGCTCTATGAATCTGACTTGAAATTTTCGGATAGCAAATGATGAAGAGCACGCATTAATTGATTCCTACGAGACTAGGCGATACATATGGCAAGGTACGAAACACTCCTGCGAGGAACGATTCCAGGGAAAGCGGGAAGGGAACTTTTGTGTGCTGTGCGAAAAGTGAGACCCACGCCATCTGGTGGCCTGGCGGAGAACATCAAAGTGATGAAGTTCTCCACCA